AAGCGATTAGAGCTCCCTTGCTGGTAATGCAGTTTAACATTGGGCTACGAACAAAAAAGCTCAAATCAACCCAGTTCTCTGAGGGAGAAAGGTGGACATTCTCATCCTATGAAGATTTACAGCCCAGACCCCACAGATGGTCACTCTAAGTCAGAACCAAGTTGGCATAGTGAGTAAGGATGAGTTAGAAATGCCAGCCTTTAGAGTGTTTTAGCCACCATTTCTTTAAATATTTTTCTCTCTCCTTCTGGAAACTCCTGTCATGTGTTATATTTATTGTTCAATGAAGCGCCAAGTTTCTCTGAGGCCCTGTTTGTTTTTTCACTCTTTTTGTTGCTTCTTCCTTCTCATTTTTGGATCGTGTAACCTCCATTTTAGCAACACTTTGAGGTCTCTGCTCCCAGGCAGTTTCTGGTGCCTGCTTTTCTCCCCTTTTCAGGGGTCCCAGTTGGGTCTTTGCATATCTCAGGCTTTTGTTGTTGCTGAAAATTGGACATTTTAGATAACATATTGTAACAATTTTGGATGCCCATTCCCTGCTTCCCTCCAGGGCCTATTATTGCTCTTTGCATATTTGTTTCTTTTGTGATGACTTGACCATTTTTGTGACACTTACAGCCCTGATTTTTCCTCAGAGGGCGTGTCTTTGGGCATAGGCAGGCTCCTGGGACAAGGTTTTTATTTCACAAGGCTAGTTGATGAACTGTTCTAGTCCAAAAAGAGCCCTGAGAGTACAGTGGAGTAAGCACTGAGTTACTAACCGGAAGGTTGGCATTTCAAATCCAGCAGCTGCATTGTGGAAGGAAGATGAGGTGATCCACTTCCATTCAGATTTGTTGTTGTTAGGTGCCGTGGAGTTGAGCATGACTCATAGTGACCCTATTAACTCTGTTCTATCCTGTGCCATCCTCACACTTCCTGACACAGTGTCAGTCTACCTGGTTCTGGGTCTTCCTCTCCTTCACTGACCCTCCACCTTTCTCAGCATCATGTCTTCTCAAAGGAATAGCACCTCCTGGCACCATGTCCATAGTGGTGTTGTTTGTTGTTATGTGCTGTCGAGTCGTTTGCAATTCATAGCGCCCCTATGTACAACAGCCCTAAACCGTGTTCTCTGCCAATCTCGTTGCCTCTGACACACCCATCCCGATTACCCTAGTCACTGAATCAATCCACCTCATAGAGGGTCTTCCCCTCCTGCGCTGTCCCTCTACTCTACCCAGCATGATGTCCCTCTCTAAAG